TGGAAATTCTGATTCTGATAGTAAGCTCGCGGCTTCGCTCTGGTTCGTGGATTGAAGGAAGGAGACGATTGAGCCTCACTGGTCAGCTCCCACAACAATCGAATGATAATTTTATTTTTGGATTAAAATATATTTCCGCTCCAATTTTGAATTTCATTTTATTAACTATTTTTAATCTCTAACTTTACCCTATATTTTCAATTTAAATAAATAAATATATATATATAAGGAATTTAAAATTTGACTTTATTGTTAATTTTTATAAACAGAAAAAATGTTGCATTTATAAATTTTAAAATATATTTACATTGTATTTTTTAATGCATTAAAATTAAAATTATTATTATTATATATATATTTTTTTTTATTTATGTCACACAAAATGATTTTTTTTGTTTTCCTTTATTATAGAATATATTAATAAGTTTTTTTTAAGAACGGTAATATATATTTTTATTAGTAGTTAGTTTGATAGTTGTATTCTATCTATTTAAACTGTCATGTCCCACCTTGGTCGGGGGAGAACAAACCATTTATGAGGGTGCGGAAACATTCCCGAGAGAACAAACCACTGTTTATGGAAACCTTTCCCTACAGCGTTTTATAGCAGAGGAAGCCCAAAAAGAAGAGCTCAAAGAGGACAATATGAAACTTTCCCCTACCAAACGCGTTTTATAGCCTTGAGGGGTAGCCTAAAAGGGAAAGCTCAAAGAGGACAATATCTGCTAGCAGTGGATGTAGGCCTCGGTCATTACATAAACGTTACTAATATTAATTTCAATTTTAAAAACGTTTTATTTTTTTAACAAAAAAAATATATATATAATATTTTACTTATATTATAAATAAGAATTTTATTTAAATTAATTAAATGTTATTTATTAAATAATATTTTAAAATTTTGGACCAATTAACCCAAGTATAAAGGGATAGTTCATTCTTACCGGGAAGGCCGAGACTCTAGAGGCCCAAAGCTCTCTACCCGCGAGCCCCAACAAGAACAACATTTCTTTCCGGGCGCGTGGCTTAAACGCGCGATTTCTTCTACAAGCCGAACCAGGTTCAGTACTGATATTTCAATCACGAACCCTAGAGCATCTTCTTGTCTATTGAAATCAACCATCATTTTCTCACTGTTTCTGAGTTCGACTCCATGGAATTGAATCCGATGAAGCGATCGCAGTTCGCCCAGGCAGCATTGGTTTCTTCTTGAAGAATTTTGATTAATGAACAGAGGTTAAATTATGCGTCGTTGTATTTGCAGAACTGTACTGTACTAAGAGAATCACTCCTTTAATTGTCGCGAAGATTATTGCTGATATCGGTGTCATTTTAGAATCTGCGATTTTCGAGTGAGTTCATTCAACAATTGGAAATTACGGTTTTATTATTGTTGTTATTTTCAATATCAATGGCGGACTATGAGGAAGAAGGAAAAGGTTCGATTAGACCAAATTCCGAGGAGGAGCAAGCAGAGCGAGAACCATCCATTTTCGAAAATGACGACGAAGAAGATGAGGATGATGGAGATGAGGAGGATGAAGATGAGGATTTTGAAGGTGAGGAAGATGAGACTGAAAATGATGAAGAACCACTCCGGAGGAAGCCTCTTTCGGATGCTTCCAGATTGATTGGTCAGAGGTCCAAATTAGAGAATCTGGCTGAGCGAATGAGGAAGGAGAAGATCAGACTTAGGGTTCATGATATTTTGATCAAGGGAAACACGAAGACCAAGGAATCTATAATCGAAGCCGAAGTGGAGGCTATTAAGAATGCATCAACCATGCAAGAACTACTGGAGGCCGCTGGCGTAGCCAATGCCAAGCTCCAGAGGCTTGAGATCTTCGACTCTGTCAAGATTACACTTGATTCAGGTCCGCCAGAGCTCCCTGGTACTGCAAATGTCGTTATCGAGGTTGTGGAGACGAGCAACCCCCTCTCCGGCGAATGCGGTGCTTACACAAAACCTGCGGTAGGATTTTGTTGTGTAAAATATGTATATATTTGTGCCTGATGTGTGAATCAATAGCTCGTTGTGTGATAAGATATTGCTTGATAACAATGAAAGCAAAGTGCTTTTATAGAGTTGTCTACCCCATTCAATCTATATGGTTTGATATCTTGTATGTGTGCATACTTGAACATTTTAATACTTATTACATGCCAATTAGGAGTTATAATTTATCAACTCTGGTTCTCTTGTAATGTGATTCCTCTGTTCAGATTCGAACTATGATTCCCTAGATAAATTTATTGCTTGTTTAACTGGAATTCGTGCATGAACTATTTGATAACTGGAATTCGTGCATGAACTATTTGACTTGCTACCTGTTGGGAAGTTTGAAGTGGTATAATGCTTTTGCAGGCTCGTTCGTGGACCTTTGAAGGTTCTGTTAAGTACAAAAATTGGCTTGGATATGGGGATTTATGGGATGGCTCTTTGGCATACGGTCCTAATCAAACATCTGAGCTGAGTACCGGTGTTTATTTCCCGAGGCTGAAGCGATCAGTGACTCCTTTGGTGGCACGGCTATCCCTACTTTCCCAAGATTGGTTAGAGTTTTCATCTTACAAAGAACGGTCTTTAGGTCTTTCCCTTGGCCTATATTCAACAAAGTATCATGATTTGGCATACAGCCTTGGATGGCGCACCATAGCCGACCCTTCACAGATGGCGTCTAATTCGATAAGGAGACAACTTGGAAATAGTTTACTTTCTTCTCTAAAATATACTTTGAAGGTTGATAAGAGGAATTCTGCAGGGAGGCCAACTAGAGGCTATGCTTTTGTTTCTACTAGTCAAATTGGTGGCCTCGCACCTGATCACCGGAGCTTGCGCTTTGTGCGACAGGTTTTCTTCATTTCCTTTTGGTTCTCTTGTAACAACAAAAGACTTTCCCCAGCTTTTGTGTAGTTATCGATTTTCTGTTCCCATATTTTAACAGGAATTTGATCTACGTTATGCCATTCCTCTCGGCTTTGATCGTGCTGCCATGAACTTTGGAGTTTCTGCTGGTGTTGTCTTGCCTTGGGGAAATGGATTCATGAACAAGCCATCACCCCTTCCTGAACGGTTTTTCTTAGGTGGTGATTTCTCTCCAGTATGCACCGTCGGAGGCCCAACAACTGTATGGGGTTTTAAGACACGTGGGATGGGGCCAACGGAGCCGAGGCGGGAAGTGAGGGGCGAAAATAATCAGGGTGAAAACAGTGATTCTCCTGGAAGGGATTTTGTCGGAGGGGATCTTGCTGTCACCGCATTTGCTGATCTTTCGTTCGACTTCCCAATTCGCTGGTTAAGAGAACATGGAATCCACGGACACATCTTTGCTGGTGCAGGAAATCTTGCAAAGTTGACTGAGAATGAGTTTCGCAGTTTCTCTTTTCAGAAGTTCTTGGAAACTTTCCGTACCTCAGTAGGAGCTGGAATTGTGCTTCCAACAAGACTCTTCCGCCTAGAGGTCAGTCACGATCTCTGACTTTGTGTTTCATTATTTAGATACATAATTTATTGGCCTGGCTCTGATCTCTGTTTTTACGTGTATCCCATGCAATGCCATGCTTGCTGTTTCCTTTTTATTATTCTTCTATCAAACGGAAACAACACCGAAACATCGCTGTAGGTTGCCTTTTGATTTGATTCGTATTTGCTACTGATTTGAGTTTGGTTCTATGAGCAGGGGAACTTCTACTACATATTGAAGCAGCAAGAGCATGATCGTGGAAAAACTGGCTTTCGGTTTAGCATATCTGCCCCATCATAAACCATGAATTTTGGCGAGGTTTGATTGATATTCAGGTTTGATTGAATTTGTTTCTCTTGCTCAACGACAATGTCCTTGCTGAGTTATCAGTTCGGACTGGATTATAAAAAATAAAAATAAAAAAAGTTTCCTTTTAATCATTTGGGGAAGTGAAAAAGAAAGGAAAAAATAAAACTTCTCTCTTCAACCACAAAGAATAGAAGAATAATATGACTTGTGATGATGTATTGGAACAGGTTATGGAGGTCTCCCCTCGCATTTGGTTTCATCGACCCAAATGGGAGGATGAATTTTTGTAACTCCATCAGTGAGATTGGACTATTTTGTTTCATAGCCTATATGATTTCTGGTTTTCCTCCACTCCACCAGGTACTTTATGATGCACACCATTATCAATTTTCTTTTCATAAGAGTCCACGACCTTTATGCCTCCATTTTTTTTGTTGTTCTTTCTTTTTTTGGGTTATGATTCTATTAGATTAGGAAGCTTCTGAAAATGGATACCATTCCCAAAGAGCACAAGTGAAAGTAGTATTTAATTTGAACGAATATGAATTTAAAATCAAATAGTTGGTTATTAAACACAATTTAGTTTATCAATTCTTAGAATTATCAAGTATATTTTGTAGCATTTTCATTCAACGATCTTGAATTGCACATATTATATGCATCATATCTATTCTGCTTTCCTTTTAAGACCATGGGATTCGTTCCCAAGAAAAACTCCGTGACCATCGTAAACTATTAAAATTATTTGGCAAATGGAGAGGGAGTTGATTTCTCGTGCTTTGCTTTGGGCTTTTTCAAAAGGTTTCACACTGATAGAGATATATAGTATTTATTGAATATAAACTAATGATAATTCTCTAAATGAGTTGATGAATTGAATAGTTGTGGTTTTTTTTTTTTTGAAAAGTGCTTTTATCAAAATTTAGAGTTTGAATTTTTAAAATGTAGAATTATGTTATAAAATAGAATAAAATTGATGTATTATATTATAAAATATTTATTATATAATAATAACTATCAGAATTTATATTTTAAATTGTGCTCATAAAATTAATTAATAACAATTTATATTCAAAGTTGATAACTATATTTAGTTTTATGGTATAAAAAGTTATTATCAAACTCATTTTTTAATTACTTATATTGAAATCACTTACCACATGAAAATATAAAATACGAAAATCTCAATTTAAAAGAATATATAAAATACGAAAACCTCCGATATAATTTGAGTTATTTATTCCTTTGGTATGTACGTAGGGTGGTGCCTATATGGTGCATGGCATATTCTCAGCCAAGGGCAATTACAATTTAAAAGGCAAGGTGCAAAGTAAGTATATGTATTTTCACCTGATGTGTTTGATCATAGCTGTGTGTGTGTGTCGAGTTCTTGAAACATTCTCCTCTCCTGCCCGGTCGGGTGGGGCTGAAAAGCCTTGAATTCAAACACGAGAAGAGATTACAATCACGAACATGTGTGAACGGATCTATTTAAGAAGCAAAAAGCATTAGAAGAACTCACTAATCATGTTTTCCATCATGGAACTGAGCATTTCTTGAAGACTTGAAAGTTTCTAAAAATTTATTGGCCTTCTGCAGTTCTTGGTTCTGCCTTGACTTATCCCAATTATGTTCAGCCGCCAATATCTCAATTACTCGAGGCAATGCGTGGTTAGCAGCATGTGTGTCGAGGAATGCGAGACGTGATCTTCTGGCGATGAAATCTACTGCAGATTCACAGTACTCGTGCCGAGCACAGTATGCAACCTCGGCTTCCAAGAAGGGGTAACCGTGAGCTAATCGCTTCCCCAAACTCTCATTCTATCATAAAAAAGAAAAAAACTGGATCAATTCTTGAAAACTGGACTATAAACAGTGCTCTACAAGCTAAAGGTCATCATTTTTATAGAATATATATTCCTTTAGCTTCTCCATTGATGTTAAATCTCGAGTTTGCTTTACACCGTATGGTGTGTATCATTGTAACCGTCTAAGTCCACCGCCTGCAGATATTGTCCTTTTTGGATTTTCCCTTTTACGCTTTCCCTCAAGGTTTTAAGACGCGTTTTAAAAACTTTGAGAGGAAACCTGAACGAAAAAACTCAAAGATGACAATATTTGCTAGTGGTGGGCTTGAGCCGTTATAAATGGTATTAGAGCCAGACACCTAGTGATGTGCTAGCGAGAAGGCTGAGCCCCAAAGGGGGTGGGCACGAGGCAGTGTGCCAGCAAGGAGGATGGATTGGGGTCCCACGTCGATTGGAGTAGGGAACGAGTGCCAGCGAGGATGCTAGGCCTCGAAGAAAGGGGATGGATTGTAAGATCCACATCAGTTAGGGAGGAGAACGAAACATTTTTATAAGGATGTAAAAATCTCTCCCTAGCAGGCCGTTACAATCATTTTATAGAATATATATGCCTTTAGCTTTACACCGTTACACCATAGCAATGTATAGAGAGAAACACAAACCTGGGCTATAGCAGCCACTCTTTCAGCTAAAACACCATACGCTTGTGATAAATGTCTTGCAGCTGCAGTATCCATAACGCCGGGGACAACTTTACCTCCAAGAGTCTTCTTCATACGTAAATATTGCTGAGCTAAGACAGTAAAATATGCAAGTTCCCATCCATCTCCACCAACTATCCGCAGCTTTTCTGTTACACATTCATTTGTTGGCTTCAGCTTTCCAGACTTTATAGCTGCATTAACAGCATCTTCTGCCATGCTGAAACCAGTTCCAATCAGAACTATAATTGTGGTAAAAAAAAAAAAAAAAGTATGAAGAGCGTATAGACCAGATAATTTTAATCACAGCCAAGATAATAGTACCCCCGATAAGTAGTCCATTTCCCACCAGTAATTGTGACAAATCCAGGATAATCCTCACAAACAACATGTTCTCTTGAAACATTCTCGGTACTTTTAGCTGACGGATCTATAGCCAAAGGACGAATACCACTCCAAGCTGAGAGAACATCTGTTCGCCGCACCTAAATTTTCAGAGGAATTGGGTTTGGGTTCCAATGAAGACTACATAAAACGAATGAAATAGAAACATAATTGTCTGTCTAGTGCAAGTGAAGCTAACTAAAACAATATAAACAACTTTTCAGGGGCTACAGAGGACTTAAACATTGAAATGTATACATAATCCACAAATTATCCATCAGGCACAATCCGAACCTATTAAGCAGTTAAAATGATATCACTAATCAACATGTGTAACAGGTGACAGTTAATAAACGACCGTCTGAGTTATCTTTGAACTTATTATCCTTCACATGCAAACTAGGTGTAAAAGAGGAGTCAAATACTAAATCTAAAGAACTCTAAGATCCCACGTCGGTTGGAAAAATAAAACATTTCTTATAAGGGTGTGGAAACCTCTCACTAGCAGACGCATTTTAAAAACCTTAAATAAAGACAACCATGGGACAATATCACTGAAGCAAACCCAAATTCTTTCAACTGTTTCAAAACTTAACACAGATATTCATACAAGCAAATTATATTGAAAAAAAACAAGAAAATTGTAATTTTCACCCAACTAGAACAAAGCAGGTATTCTAATCAATCAAATACCTTTTTTGGTAATAATACAGAATCACATACCTTCACGTTAAGGTAACCAGAGATTGCATCCAGTATAAATTGGATTTCATCCTCGTGAGGCTCAGGAAGCATAGTGATGTCTGCGTTGGAATCTGTGGTTCCAGCAACCGTTCGTCCTAACCATGGCAGCATAAAAACCACACGCCCGTCCTTAGTCATGGGAACAATTAGACCCATTCCTTCGGGAGAATAATAATCAGGGAGAACCACATGGACACCACAGCTGGGACAGATCACAGCCACTGCCTCTTTATCAACCATCTTTCTCACTGAATCACAAAATGGTCCAGCAGCATTGACAATCACCTTTGCATAGGTATCAAACTCTTTACCTAGAACAAATAAATAGTTAGTGAGGATCAGATAAATAAAAGGAATGTATAAGCCAGTCTAGACTTTTATTCATCACTCCAATACTTGCTCATTTGTGTAATTTCAACTAGCATCTACTGTCATCTTACTATGTCAATTATGCCAAACACAAACCCATGTGAAACCTTAATTCCGGTTGAGGATGGTTGTTAGAGGAGTCTCACATCGACTAATTAAGAGGTTGATCATGGGTTTATAAGTAAGGAATACATCTCCATTGGTACGAGGCATTTGAGGTATTTTGGGAAAACCAAAAACGAAGCCATGAGAGCTCATGCTCAAAGTGGACAATATCATACCACTGTGGAAGTCTGTGATTCCTAACATGGTATCAGAGTCGTGTCCTTAACTTAACCATGTTAATAGAATCCCCAAATGTCGAACAAAGAAGTTGTGAGCTTCGAAGATGTAGTCAAAAGTGATTCAAGTGTTGAACAAAGGGTGTACTTTGTACGAGGGCTCCAGAGGAGTCAAGCCTCGATTAAGGGGAGGTTGTTCGAGTGCTCCAAAGGCCACAGGGGAGGCTCTATGGTGTACTTTGTTCGAGGGGAGGATTGTTGTTAGAGGAGTCACACGTCGGCTAATTAAGAGGTTGATCATGGGTTTATAAGTAAAAAAATACATCCCTATTGGTATAAAACCTTTTGGGAAAACCAAAAGCAAAGCCATAAGAACTTATATTCAAAGTGGACAGTATAGTATCATATCATTAGGGAGGTACGTGATTCCTAACCATTTCATCTTCCAAAAGGAGATTATTGCAGGGATCTAAAATCAATATAGGAAATTGATCAACAAACAATAATGTTTCTAGGCTTCTAGACATGAGTTCAAGATGATAATTTGACTGAGCCCTCTGTTCTCAACTGATGTCCAATCCTTCAACAGTAATTGCCACAAGGCAACAAAAATCAAGTGGGGAAAGGGTACGAAGAAACTTTTTTCTTTTCTAATCCTGAAAATTCCAATTCAAGTATAACTAAAAGCATCCACAGGAAACTGCCCAGAAAAATTCAATAGAACTGGAAAAAATAAAAGGGGCTTCCAAAAAACTCAACTCAGATATAGAAGATTGCATTAGATGTGATTGGCACCTGACAAATTGTCACGAATCCGCGCACCAATAATTCGATCACTACCCTCTTCCTTCAAAAACCCCACAACTTCAGCATAGTTAAGCACCGCCGCACCAGCCAGAGCGGCAGTACAAGCCAGCCCCACATTAACCCGCGAGTCATTCATCTGCCCATCGTAGTACACCACAGTGCCTTTCAAACTTCTTCCCTGGCCGTTCGTAGCCAGGGTAGGGAAGAGCTCCACAGACTCTTGAGCGGAATAGTACCTTGACAAGTGTAAGAGGCAAGGACCAGAAACAAAATCGTGCATCTTCAACCCAATCCAATAGTAAACGACCTCGAACCAGTCAAAACACGGCGTCATACACGGCAAAACATGGCATAGATGTGGTGCATTTTCGATGAACTGCCTTCGCTCTTTAAGCGCATGAAACACCAGTTTAAGCTCCTTATAATCCAAATTAAACACTGCGTTCTCCACATACCGCACGCCTGAGAACGAATAGAAGGAATTTCAGCTTCCATTAACTCAAAACGGAATAAAACTTAATCCTAAATCGACATTCAGTCCATTCGTATCCAAAATTTGAACAAATGAACAACAACAGAACTTCAGATTCTTTAAATTCACAATACCTCCATGAATGAGCTTCGTCGAACGCGAAGACGTACCGGAAGCGAAATCCTCGCGCTCAACGAGGCCAACACGAAGTCCACGAGTAACAGCATCGAGGGCGACGCCACAGCCGGTAGCGCCTCCGCCGATGACGAGAATATCAAGAGGATTTAAAGAACTAGCCCCGATCAGAGCCGACTCCTGGACTGATCGCCGCGGAACGACTGCAGTTGGATCATTGATCTTACTCCTGTAGGATTCAAGCGCCTGATCACTGGTACCACGGTCATTGGAGGAGAGAGAAGGCTGAAGAATAATTGAGCCGCCAGCTACGGTGGCTACGACGGCGACGGCGAGCTTACTCAGCCGTGAGACGGCGGCCATGACGGTTGTGATTCAGACACAGGATTAGCGGGAAAAAAAGGGACGATACCGTGGCTTGAAAGGGACTCGTAATGAATTTATGAAAATAAATATAAATAAAATAAAATAAAATATAAAGAGAAAAGGAATATATTATCGTGATAAGCATGCAATGAAATTTTATTTTCTCTTTTTTATTTATTTATTTTTAACTAATTTCTAAATTAAATATATATATTATAATTCAAGTGATGTTTTCCGTGGGTTTAAACTTATTTTGAATATAATTTTGTTATTATCGATAAATGTTAAAATTCACAAACTACAAATTTAGAATTATAATAAAATTGGAATTTTCAAATTTTATTATTTTATTATTTATATCAATTTGTTAGTCTTTTTAATATTATTATAAGCTACTTTATGGGGGAAATTTTTATTAGAAAGTTTAAAATAAAATATGTATTTCACTCTTATTATTATTTTTATTATTATTATAAAAAGGGATGAATTTAAATATTTATTAGAAGATGAAGAATAGTGTGATTAAAAAAAATCAAATAAATATATAATGAAAGTATAGGTAGCCTTAAAATAAGGAATATAATAAAATAAAATAAAAAGATGGAAAAGACATAAATATATGAATAAAACTTAAAAGATGGGACTATGGAGGAATATTACAGGGCAATTTTACATTTAAAACATAATAAATAAATTAGATAGGCAATTAATGTTTTTTTTTTCTAAGAACTATTACCTGATCGATTCGTCGTTAAAGGCATCTTAAAAGCATTCATGTCAAGATATAGCTTTCAAGAGGAAAGACGCATCCTATCCATATAATTGCTTGTCACCTGCGCTTTGCCATCCATTCAAACTTTTCGAACCAAGTGAGTGTTCTATGGGGGACCGTCAAGCACATCTAGCAGCAAAGATCAAAGGGATGAGATTTGAACCCGTGACACAAAGATTTTCAGTCCGTCGATTCGCTAGTTCATTGATAGATAAAATTCTCTTTATTATCTCGTGCAAAAATGCAACCAATAATGAGTTTTGTTGTATTTTCACGAACCATGGAAACGTCAAGATCCCAAAGGAACAAAAGACGGTTTATAACTAAATTATATATATATTCAATTGAAACTAAAAAAACTATATAGGTATAAATTAAAACTAAGAACCAAATTATATTAGCAAATTTAAAGCTAGATTAAACAAATTAATAATAGATATAGAAGAGATTGTTAAATAAATAATTGCAAGGTTGACCTGATCAACCGGTGAAAGGCATCTGGAGTTTTGAATATTCTAGGCATCGAATTAAACTTTTCATATTGTTTTTTGGTTATTTAAGGAGAAACCCAAGTAATGTTTCTATCCGTCACACCAAACATAGTCTATAAATGCAGCATATGGTTTAAAGGGGAACGAATCTTTCACCATTTTCATCTCTGTTTTAACGTTACACTTCAGACTGAAAATACCAACAAGCCAAAGCAAATAACAAAGCCGAACACTGCCCGACTCACCAAAACTATACACGGATCACACGGGGGCAAGCTGTTTTGTTTTTTTTTTTTGTTTTTTGTAAAATAAGCTTCGGCTGATAAAATAATTCATGTCGCAGCTGAGTTCCGATCATGATGAAGTGGGTCGTGGCAATCGCTTCGCAATCTCCTGTCAAACCAAATAGAGAAGAAATGGTTGAACTCGAAATGTATTTGAACTGAAACAGTCGAAGGAATCTACAAAGCCATGGATCTTTATCGCCCCCTCTCGAGACGACGAGTGAAGTACATTCCAAGAGAAACTTTAGATGGAAACAAACTAGGGTCTCATCGAGTGAGCACGACAACTATGGAACATCATCACATAATTCAAGCAGGGAAAGTATGTAATCAAAGGAAAAGAAGATATGAACAAAAAGGACCATGACATTATTTTTTTCTTTAATCCAAATTATTTGCTGTTTCATAAAGCGTCTAGAAGAAGCACAAATTAGAGAGAGGGAGGGACGTACAATAAAACATGCACCACAGACAAATTCGACTGTGGGCAAAAAGCATTCGAATCCAACAAACAATAAACAACAAATCAGCGAAGAGCTAACAGTCGGAAAATTTCCAATCGAAATTGTTATACTTGTTCATCCAGATGTTCACCTCTTAAAATATCCTATATACATAAGCGGGAACAGGTGAAGGGGTCAAATTTATGGTGTAGCACCGCAGAACCTTTATTCTGATGGTGGTGGAATAATTCCTTGTCGAAAGAAAAAATCTATATTTGACAGGGTAGAATGCAACGTGCGACTTGAAGGACATGATCTACTGTGAATTCTTACATTCACCAGTTTATATTATATAGGAATGAAGATGCTCTTGACTCAGCATCGTTTCTAGATGGGATGACCTATTACATGCTAGAGCTTATCGAGAAGAATAAAGTTCCTTTTTTTAAGATTAAAAAAAAGTCAATTATCCATTCAATATAATATTGAATGAATGCTCGAGCACTCAGATACTTTCATGAATCCATATACAAAGTATCTTCCTCCTCCGAGCTCGAGTTATGGAAGAAGAAACCGAGAACAAAGTATCAACAACAACAACAGGTTTTATTACGGAACAATTCATGATGTCTTTTGCTTATGTTCAATATATAATGACGGAGTTGAAGACAAGAGATTCATATGAGAAAACATAAGTAAACAGCCGCAACTTTAAGGGTGGTATTGATCAATCATGACAATATAGAATCACCAATAGAAACCTAAGATGAACGTTCAGACAGCACAAAAACCGATTCGACACTTTATGGAGATAGAATAATGTTAGACACAACCAACCACCAGCAAACAGCTGGGGTGAAAGAACGTTCCAACTTCACACCTAAAGGAGTTCAACACTGTCACCAATAGAGAATTGGTCGACTACAACGAAAATCATTAAGTTTACTGGTTATGAAAATGAATTAAACAACACTCAGCAATATTCAAATATCATTCACATGCACTATAAAAACACGGGCGGCAGAAAAAAATAGAACTGTTTAATACTACTCTGCCTACAGTGGATATCACAAAAATAGCTATACACAATGGTCTACCTCAAAAAGGCAATTATGAAAGTGATAATAAAAGGTACAATCAGGAATACCTCAAACAGCTCATTTATGTTATCTGCAGTCTTAGCAGATGTCTCAATAAAGAACATTCCATTCTTCTCTGCATACTCAGTCCCATCCTTCAAAATTGAGGCATAATTATCTCAAATTAGTGAATTTTAAATACTGCCCATTTTGTAAAAAACAAAACAAAGTAAAAAAGGATAAATGGAGAAGATTGGAGAAGATTGGAGAAGAAAAACGCATTTGATCAAATAACACTGAATTTACCTGAACGGATACTTTCCTTTTCTCTTGGAGATCAGCTTTGTTACCGACCAATGCCAAAATGATATCAGGGCTTCCATGCTTTTGCAGCTCCTGTAAGTGTCCAATACGAATCGTGAAGATTGTGATTCATTAAAGGATAACCAGCTCAAAACAAACACATTAATGCATTGTTTAGGTTTTTCCCTCTTGAAAAATCATGGCTTACATTCAAACAAGCCCCTTTTCTATGATTTTTTACTCAAAATAGGACTGTACTTTGTTAACATGATCAGCATTCATTGATTTGAAGCCAGAAAAGGTATAATGAAAAACTGTATTGTCTCCAATGGAAACTTCCATAACAGCACTCTTTTTGTTGGAAATTGATTAACAAAGAAGTCCCATAAAAAGAAATGAATGCTTATCAAGAGGCAAAGATGTAACACAAGGTCGACAAGGTTATCCACAATTTTCTTAAAAGAGTAGCGCAAGGTTAACCAGAATTTTAATAAGCACACATCATAATCATATTGCCTGTAACACTTACAAGGGAACAGATAAGTAGCGAAACATGTAGTTATCTGGTGATCTATCCATAGATTAAAAAGAATTCCATTCGTTTCATATTTGGCCACTAGTGAGTAGCAGCTCAATTAATGAGGAATTGCCTCACAGGTTTCGCTTCCTTTCGGCATAATGGCTATGAAAGCAGGAAATATAGTACATTTGTACAAAATCTAATTTATCATTTTAAAACATACCTTAACCCAATATTGAGCTTTGGCAAAGGAATCAGAGCTTGTTATATCATATACGATAACTGCAACTGCCGCACCTCGATAGTAAAGTGGAGCTAATGCAGCATACCTAAATCAAGAGAGAACAACATTGATAACATCTAGCAAAAATAGCTCCGGTAAACATGAATCAAACTAGATAAGGTCTACCAATGTAATAGTCCAATCCATAGCCCAATCCCCTGTCAGCAGATAGTCCTCTTTGGTCTTTCCCTTTTGGACTTCTCCTCAAGGTTTTAAAACGCGTCTACTAGAGAGAGGTTTCTAAACCCTTATAAGGAATGCTTTGCTCCCCTCTCCAACCAAAGTGGGATCTCACAATCCACCCCCCTTGGGGGCCAGCGTCCTCGATGGCACACCGCTTAGTGTCTGGCTCTAATACCATTTGTAACATCTCAAGCTCATTGCTAGTAGATATTGTCCTCTTTGGACTTTTCCTTCTAGGCTTCTCCTCAATGTTTTAAAATGCATTTACTATGGAGAGGTTTCCACACTCTTATAAGGGATGTTTCGTTCCCCTTTCCAACCAATGTGGGATCTCACAACCAATCACAATATTGTTGCTTGCTAGCTAGAAGTTAAAAAATACACCATAGAGGATAAGCTACTAGAGATTTAGATAATCCTACCTCTCTTGCCCAGCAGTGTCCCATATTTCAAACTTCACTGTTGTAGAATCCTGTAAAGCAATCGTTTGTGACAGGAATGATGCCCCAACAGTTACCTGAATTTTCTCAACAAACATTTCTAATCAAAAGATTGTAATCACTTTGGGAATGAAATGATCAAGACATAAATTTTTCGTTTCAAGCATCAATTTATTTTAAGAATTTATGGACTGTAATATAATCCTGACCTTAGACGTTGGATCAAACTGACCACGAACAAAGCGAAGAACAATACAGCTTTTACCAACGCCAGAATCACCCAGCAGGACAAGCTGCATAAGATATCATAAAAACTTTTAAGCTTTCTAAGCAAGCACTTATCTGACGTATTGGCATATCTGTAACTTCAAAAATCATAAATTCAAAGCAAAAGCATAAGAACAGGCAGCCATTTGGTAGCTTCTTAAATACCTTGACGCGCAAATTCTTTGAATCAGCTGCACTATTCTCTGGATTAACCCCACCCGATGGCCCAGAAGCTCTGTCTGTACAATAAACTCCTCAAAAATCAACAAACTCGACATAAAATCCCATCAGAAAAAGTAAAAAATTGAAAGATACCTAAGATAAAACCCACCGAACCCTAATGTCCCCATTAACGAAACAACAAAGATAATAATAATCAAGGAACCAAGAGAACTTCATAATTAACAACGTAGAACTAACCAAGCAATCAACCTCTTCAATTTTCAATACACTCTTTGATCAGACTTATATAGACCAATAAAGAATCGAAAACCCCTAAAAAAAGCTGAAGCAACGAAATTCGAGAATTGAAAATACCTGGGACAGAGGAGGAGCAACCCATTGCGATCAAGGGTATATGAAATACCCGAGCCAAGCAATTTGCTGTTAATTGAACTTTCTTGGAGTCTACTGAGCAATTTTCTGCAAAAGAGAAGAAGAAACTTGCGCCCTCGGGACTGGTTCGTTAATGGCTGTCAAAGTTTTCCCAATATTTCTCAACTCAACTTTCAATTGAATGGCGAAGGCGAACGACATCGTCTCGGCCCGAATCAAAACGACATGTCGGATTCACAAGACCCGAACCGAACCCGATACGCCGAAGAAAAGGTAAGCCAAATGGGCCAAATGGGCCAAATGGGCCGAACTTCCACATAGGTCGTAGGTGATTCCTTTTATTTTATTTTATTTTATTTTATTTTCCTTAAAAATAAAATACCTCCTAAAACACAATGATTTAAAAACGCCCCATTTTTATCATAATTTCATTTTCTAAAAAATTAATAATATAATATAATATAATTAATTAATTAATTAATTTAATCCTATACAAATAAAAAACACACGAGCTAAATATTATAATTTTATTTAATTCAACGGTTAAAAAATAAAATTTTAGATGTAATTTTTAATTCAAAAATATTTTACCCCTCCACATTTTATTTTTATACAAAAATAAAAAAATTAAATACATGACTCCAACCCTCCCAACTAATCCCCTCCAATATTTTATAGTTTGGTTCGGTTGGGTTAGGTTCATTATTTAACGAGGGTTACTTGAAAAATGTCTCGACTCGACTCAGCCCGAGAAAATAATAAATATTTTATCCCTTAATCTTGAAATTGAAGGCCCGAGTACATGGCCATGACAAGTTTGTCGCACATAAATTATTTATTGAAAGTTTTCTAAACCACATAAATTTGGTTGGTTTTTGTTTCGTTAGAAAATTTGAACCCGTCCACTTTAGATTAGTTGTTTCCTCTTTTAAAACGTCTATTATTGATGGAAGATAAGCCTACTTTCATGTAGATAAGCTTATCTTATACTGTTTCGATAGAGTTTGACCTGGAAATATATGGATCATAACTTATTGACGAGTACGACGTGCTTCATTGCTTTAGAAGATAAACTAAGCTTTTGTTTGATGTGAATACGACGCTCAATTTCTTGTTTGATGTGTGAAAATCGACCAACTGATGCATTTAACTTGTTTAGACCTAGGAAGTAGCATTGTCTTGTCAACTCATATGTCCTCTAGTCATATCGACGTTAAAATTTACGTTCTTAGTAAAGTCAGGAAAATAGTAAGAAATATGACATAACAATATAGGTTTATTTACGGCCATGAAAAACTAAATGGTTTGAAAGAAGCTGATGACTTAAAACCCAACTCAACCAGTACGATTGGATAAGTTTAAAAAAGTTCTAACCGAGTCCAACCCTACCCACGAACACCCCTAACGCTGTACCGAGCGTGAGAGAGAAGATTCAAGCTCGAACTTACACGACAATGATGAAAATCAAGAATTTGACAACTTACTATCTATAACATGTCGCGTTTAGAACGTATAAGAACTCAGGCCACAAATTGGGTTAAGTTTAAAAAAGTCCTAACCTAGTCCAGTCCTACCCCCGAACACCCCAAACACTGTACCGAGAGTGAGAGAGAAGATCCAAGCTCGAACTCACACGACAATGATGAAAATCAAGAATTTGACAACTTTCTATCTATAATATGTTGTGTTTAGAACGTGTAAGAACTCGAGTCACATCACGAGAAGTTTTGGCTCCACATCGAACACGGGAAATTAGGGTTTGACAACGAGAGAGAGAGAGAGAGAGAGAGAGACGACGCAGACAAGGTCGAGTGGACAATCCAACTTCCTTTAATTTAGGGGACAACAACATCTAAAGGATAAGGAAAAAATGGGTCATAGTAAGCTCAAACAATTTGGACAAACTTGCTTTTTTGATTGCAATCTTCAAATCTTTTCAAAACCCAATCTTCAAACTGTGGGAGTGTTTTGAATGTTCTAACTGTTCTTGATCTTTTGTAGATTGGGATTTGATGACGTGTGTACTTCGTGAACCGTTGAATATTGTGAGATCTAAAAATTTTTTATTTTCTATTTTGGTTGGAAGAGATTATGCTAGCTAAAAAGTTTTTGGCACAATCAGACTCTTGCAACAGTGGATCACCAGTTGTGCAGCACTCGTTTCAACTCGGGGAACTAGTCAGCCATGAGAAATTTGAATTTCACAGACAACGTAGAATTATGCTCGAATCTCGAGTCATGTTTGAGAAAGATGTTTTAGAAAACGTGAGTGAGAAAATGCGATGAAAATAATATGAAAGAATAACAACAACTTTGATAGCTTATAACTTCGGCAGGAAGAAGTGACATCTTCATACAGTACATTTTGGGACATTTTAGTCTTTGTCAGTATAGACATGATTTTGGTGACGGGTCATATCTATTAGAACATCTAAGCAAACATAGACAAACTATTTGATGACCGGGTTGAAAAGGCAAACAAAGACAAAAGGTTGAATGAAAGAGAGAGGCATTGGCATTGGCATTGGCATTTCCTTGGCCATGCAAGTTCAAAAAGCTTGATTAATGAGGTGTGGTGTTTGGGATTTGTTGATTAGACCATCCCACTTTTCAGGGGACACTACTCCTTCAGTTCATTCCGAAACAAATGGGTCCTTCCATATCCTCTCCTTTCGGTATCACCGTAACAATTTTAAATCCACTGTTAGTAGATATTGTTCTATTTAAACTTTTCAAAACGCGTCTCTCGTGGGGCCCAGCATCCTCGTTAGCACACCGTCCCGAACTTGGCTCTGATACCATTTGTAATAGTCCAAGCCCACTGATAGCAGATATTTTCCTCCTTCGACTTTCCCTTTTGAACTTCCACTCAAAGTTTTAAAACGCATCTACTAAAGATAGATTTCCATTTTAGTTAGGGTTTCCTCCCAACTGCTTACCTTTACTAATTTTCTGTACTTCCATTTTAGTTAGGCACGTGTAATAAGGGCCAAATAAAGTAAAAAAAAAAAAAAACCTAAGTGAGTTAGAACGAACTAAAGGAGAACAAGAAACGAGGAGAGAAGAAAAGAAGCTTGGTCGAATCCCACGTCCATGGTTGACCCACCGTGAAAAGTCTCGCTCAACGTTCCTAAGATCCGTGGAATCTCGATCCAAACCCTGATTTGGTTCACGTTGATCCTAACTCTACGAGGAATCCACCAAAACCCTAATTATGAGATATATAAATATTCTTGTCCCATTTGGAAGAGATAACTTCAACGAGCCTCACTCATATCAATCAAAACTAAGCATCGGAGTCTGTCTAGTTGGTTATTCAAATATTCAAATTATTTAATAATTAAACTGAAAAAAAAATAAATAACTAAGGCAGAATATTATATTTCAACCATATTTTAAATACGAGGAGGCGAAAAATGGTTTGATTTTGTAACGAAATAATTAAAAAAAAAACTATATTTGTGGAAAGTAATTAAATAAAGTGGGCCTTGGAAATGGGTTTAGTGTGGGTCCAATAGCGGTTCGATTCGAGTATTTTTCGGTTCAATGCCTGGCTCGCTGTTCCAAGGATTCTTCTTGTCGGTTCACAGTCCCATTATAAAATTAATTTCCCAATAAAATAAAATTAAAATTGAATAAATAACTATTTTTCTCTAATTGAAAATTTTGAAATTTTAATTTCACTTTAATTTCACTTTAATTTATATTATTATGATTAGCTTAATTGTGAATAAAATTGAATAATTCCATTGATTTAACTTTTTCGATTTTTCACAATAATTAAGTAAATATTAATTCAGAAAAAGAGAAAAAAAACCCTAAAATTGTTCAAAAATATTTATATATACAGAAAAATAAGATTAATTTAAAAAAAATAATAAAAAAAGGGTTAAGGGTCGGCGTAGTAATGCCAGCAGACGAGCATGACGACACATCGGCGAAGGATGTAAAACCTTGCTCTCTGTTCCTTAACAAGTAAACTGCATCTCTGCTTAAACGACGCCGTTCCCGATCTCCTCCTCCTACTACTGCAGCAGGTTGAAGACGATGAGCCTCTCACTTCCCTCTTGCACAGCCTTCTTCTTTCTTCCATCATCTTTTTTGCCTTTAATTCCGAAAATGCCCTTCTCTGTTCTTCCACAAATATGGGTTTTAGAGAGAGAAAGTTAAGAGAGAGAGAGAGAGAGAGAGAGAGATGGAGGGAGGGTTTTGGAGCTCTGAGGGGGAGACTTTATACTACTAACACATGGGTTTTGGAGAAAATAAGCCTTTTTTTATTATTAAAAATCTTTTTTTTTTCTCGAGATTTTCATAAAAAATAATAATCTAAATACGTCTCACGTGGGTCGGGAGAGGAGAACAAAACACTTTTTATAACAGTGTGGAAACCTTGCCCTAACCGACTTTAAAGCCTCAAGGTGAAAACCCGAAAACGAAAAAGGCAAAAAGAACAATATCTGCTAAGAGAGAATTAAAAAATAATAATCTAAATATGTCCCACGGGTCAGAAGAAAACACCTTTTATAAGAGTGTGGAAACCTTCTCTTAACAGACTTTAAAGCCTCGAATGGAAGTCCGAAAAAGAGAATGACCAAGAGGACAATATCTGTTAACAGTGAATTTGAGACATTACAGAATTGGTTATTTTTTATAATGGGGTGTAAACATAAAAGAGTGTAAATGTTCGATACATACAAGATCGATTCCATTGTGGACTATGCTATGATGATGGCGACTAATTGATTTATATATATATATATATATATATATATATATATATATATATATAAAATTGGTGTTCATTGTATGGGTACTTGGACACGGTCGGTCTAAGGAGGGATGAAATTAAAAATTATTTTTTGAAAAATGTGAAAAATCTTATGAACCCTAACGTATATAAACTCTACTACCAAGGAAATACACCGCGTCGGTCAAAAAATCATTTATTTTTTTATTTTACGCATTAAAAAAATGATTTTAAATTATTAAAAGTATTTGAATATTATTAAAAAAAATTAATTTCAAAATCACTTAATTCATTTCCTAATTAAAATAATTTAGATTTTAATTTTAATTTTTTAGACCCAAATCTTAAAAACCTTCCACTAATAATTATATCCAATTAAATTCTAAATTTTTATAATTTAATAATTTTATTGCTACAATTTATTCTTGTCACA